AGCCCATTCAGACATAGGGTATATTAACATGCAGGGTGGTAGGAACAGGCTGAAGTGGGAAGAGATAGAAGAACAGCTAAGGGAAGAGAGGCCGATGGTATCCGCCTTTGTAGAAACACATCTCAGGGACATGGAACAACCTCCGAACAATCCGGACTACGCATGGGAATATTGTAGTAGAACAGAAGGCAGCAGAAAGGGGGGTGGTATTGGGGCATTCATTCATAAAAGTACAGACTGGCAAAGGGTCAAGCAGGAGTGCAAGGAACATTTATGGCTAAAAGGGAAAGTAGCAGGTCAAATGACACTCCTTGGTTTCGTGTACTTGCTGACGGGAGCAAAGGCCAGAGAGGAAAACCAGGCAATGGTAGAGTGTATATCAAAGGACATTCAGGAGTTAGGAAGAGAGTGCGAGATAATTATACTAGGAGACATGAATGCGAACATAGAAGATATAGATAGGTATAATGGCCCGACAGGCAAAATGATCATGGATATGTGTGAAAGGCTTGATTTGATCATTTGCAACAGTACCGAGAAGTGTGAAGGGCAAATAACATGGAGGTAGGGAGGCTGCAGTCGACGATAGATTATGCACTGATGTCACATAGGATGTATGATAAGCTCAGGGGAATGCACATAGATGAAGGTGGCTCCAGAAGTCTGGGTAGTGATCACAAACGTATCAAGCTAAGTTTTGGAAGAGCAGTGAAAGTGGGAAGGAGACAAGATGAGCAACTACAGGAAAATTTTTATTCAGAAAGGCAAGTTGAAATAGCCACTAAACAAATTGAGAAAGTAATCACGGAGGATAGTAAGACAGTGTGGACATACACGAATCTAATTAGACTCTTTGAGCTAGAGCTTGCTAAGACGTGTATCAAGTCACCCCGGAAAAGAAGACACAAACCCAAAAGTTAGTGGGATGAGGAAGTTAAGACAGCCATAGCAAAACGTCGGGAAGCCTCTAGGGAACACAGATATGCTAAGCTGCGGCATGAACCGACAGATGATGTTGAAAGAAAATGGGAAACCTTTCTAAGCTGTAGACGGGCTGCATACCTTCTGATCAATGAAAAGATTAGAAGAAAGGGAGCTCAGTGGCTGGAAGAAGTACATAAAAAAGATAGAAAGGCAGCTGCGAAATTTTGGAACCATCTAAACTCCCAAAGAAATGAGACGAGCCTAGAGCAGAGTTTTATAACTACAACCCAAGGTGCCAGGCTAGAAGGGGACGAAGCTATTGAACTTATAAGAACAAGGGTGACAGAAAAATTTCAACAAAGAAGTACTTTATACACCACAATAGACAAGGACGAATCAAGTGGTGCAATGGCTCCATTTTCAGAACGAGAGTGGGAAAGGGCTGAAAAAAGGGTTCCTAGTAGTACATCAACAGGCCCAGATGGCATTCCAATTAGGCTGATAAAGACATTAGGTCCGAAGTCTGGGCAGGCTTTGAGAGAGGCAGTGAGCAAAATACTAATCGATGGTGAAGTTCCCGATGGATGGAAACTTAGCAGGATGAGCATGATCTATAAAGGAAAGGGGGACAAAGCTGACATAAACAACTACCGTCCTATAACAGTGAGATCAGTGGTCTACAGGCTGGCGTCAGATTATAAAGGAAAAACTGCAGGCATGGATAGAAGATGAGGGAGAGCTTGGGGAACTGCAGAATGGGTTTCGGAAACACAGGAGGTTGGAAGACAATCTGTTCTCACTGACGTACTGCATCGAAATAGCAGAAAAGGAACACAGGCCCCTGTGGCTAGCATTCTTGGATATTAAGGGAGCGTACGATAGCGTGGTTCAAGAGGAATTGTGGGGAAGACTGGACACACTAGGCGTGGAACATGTAGTCACTAATCTTTTAAAGGGTATCTATAAAGGTAACAAGGTAGTTATAAAGTGGGAAAAACAGGTATCCATGCCTGCAGAGGTAAAACGGGGGCTTAGGCAAGGGTGCCCCTTGTCACCCTTATTATTCATGATGTACTTACAAGGATTAGAGGCAAAATTAGAAGGAAGTGGGCTGGGCTTCTACCTCTCTTTAGTCACACAAGGAAAACTTATTGATCAGGCACTACCAGCATTAATGTACGCAGATGGTATAGTGCTAATGGCCAACAACAAGGAAGATTTGCAGAGATTGATGGACATCTGCGGTAATGAGGGAGATAGGTTAGATTTTAGATTCAGTAAGGAAAAATCAGCAGTCATGATTTTCAATGACAACGAAGGTAGTGAGCTTAGGATACAGGAGGTCACGCTTGAGATAACAGATAAATACAAATATCTGGGCGTACGGATAAGCAATGGGACCGAGTACTTGAGGGAACACGAAATATACGTGACGACTAAAGGTAACAGGAATGCAGCAGTGATGAAAAATAGGGCACTGTGGAATTACAGTAGGTATGATGTTGTGAGAGGAATATGGAAAGGGGTCATGGTTCCTGGGCTGACGTTCGGCAATGCGGTCTTGTGCATGAGATCAGAAGTTCAAGCAAGATTAGAAGTTAAGCAACGTGGAATAGGTAGGCTTGCTTTAGGAGCTCACGGGAATACACCAAATCAGGGAGTACAAGGTGATTGTGATGTAGTACCTTAAAAATGCGAGCCTAGCAGATGACAGCACCACATCATTTAGAAGATGAGAAGAATGAAGGGGCATTGCAGCGCGCCCATTAAAAAAAGAAGAAGAGACGCTCGCGGAGAACGAAGCCGTTCGGACGCCGGCAAGATGACGCAAGGGAGCCTAGGGCGAACCCGCAACTACGCGCGAGGTTCGAAAGGCCGGGTTCCTGTCCTCGAGCCATTGACGTCCTCGGGCACGGCGTGTCGGCGTGGTCCAGCACGAGTTCTCGGTGAGTGGTCCTGTGGACATCTCCGGTACGGCGAGCGCCCTCGAAAGACCGGAGCTGCTGACCACGTCTACCGAGCCGACGTCGCTGACAGTGTGCGGCTACGCCTAGACCTGGTGATATAGACAGTGGTATGCTGACCTGGCACCCAAGCGACGACTGCATCCGAGCACGCAACGGGTCCCACTTCAAGGCATCGGGCTACGGCACAGACTGTGAGACTGGTTACTCTTTTCTTTTGTGTGTGAACCACACGCGTGTACGACTTACAGTACTGTACGCGCAATAGTTTTTTTGTTCATCCAATATAACTCCCGTTTGTGTTCCTCACTGTCTCCATCTTACTCGCGTCACACGCCTTGCTATGTGACGAACCTAACACACGACAGTGATATGGGATGGAAATCATTTGAGGGCAGGGAAGCTAGCAGCAACATAAAATTTGAGAAGCGATTGAGAGAAATGAAGGAGGAGCGTTGGGCTAGGAAGGTTTTCAGCTACTTGTACATGAAGAATGTCGATACAAAATGGAGGAAGCGAACCAGGAAGTTGACTGGTAAATACTTAGAAAACAGCAGGTGGCCAAACCAAAAAGAACTATCGGTTAAGAAGAAAGTGAAGGACACGGAGACTGACATGTGGAAAATGGGCATGTTTAAGAAGTCCGCACTAGAGATCTATCGAACTTTTAAGCAGGAAATTGCCAAGGAAAGGATCTATGATATTACTCGGGGTAGTTCTCAACTGTTTGAGGCAAGGACGGGAGTACTGCGAACCAAGACATATTGGGCCAAATTCGAAGGGGTAGACACAGTATGCAGTGCGTGTGGAGAGGAAGAAGAAACTGCCGAACACTTGATAATGTTCTGTAAAGGGCTTCACCCTATAGTTCAGGATGATGGCGCAGAGTTTTTCAAAGCACTGGGGTTTAGGGACCGGGAGGGCAAAATAGACTTTAAGCAAGTAGACTTAACTAGAAGGAGGTTATCTGATTGGTGGCTAAAGTCAAGGCACGAGTGAAAAGTAAACTCTTCACTGCAAAGTACGTATCCTCAAACTCACTTTCTAAGGAAAAAAAATAAATATAGTTTTGGGTTCTTTAAGTATTACGGCTTGGTGGCGCTAGCCACCGCCCGATCTAAAGGGTACAGCCATATCCCTCCATCCATCCATCCGAGTATATGATGAAAAAATGTGAGATGGAGGTACTTGGAGTGTTTACTAGATGGACGGATGGATGGACAGACACACGAATAGATAGACAGACAGATGCTCGGACGAATGGACAGACGCACAGACGGCCAGACGCACGGATGGATGAACGCATGGATGGAAGCACGGGTGGATGGTAGGCACACAGATGGACGGATGCACGGATGGATGCATGGACGCCCAGACGGTCACACAGACAGACAAACGAACGGACTGAAGCAAGAACGAATGGACGGACGTAAGTGCGGATGGATTGACGAATGCTTCGCGCCACTCATCATCGTGCACTCCTTGGTTATGCTGTGATTTTTTTTAGAGTGCACACTTAAGGTACAGTGATTCGGCCGTGAACAGTGATGAATTTGTTCGAATGCATTTCAAGTTCAACGAACGCGTCAAAATGCAAGAGTGTGGGCCGCATCAGTCAACTTTGCGGGTGAAAAAAATCGCCAGCTTCAATTTAGCGCAATGGACTCCATGAACATCTTGACGCAAATTGAAGCTTTGCGAGCGTAACCTGATAGAAAGCAACATACTGCAACAAGCAACAACTCGAGTATGATTGATTGATATGTAAGGTTTAACGTCCTAAAACCACCATATGATTATAAGAAACACCGTAGTGGAGGGCACAGAAATTTCGATTACATGGGGTTATTTAACGTGCACCCAATTCTGAGCACACGGGCCTACAGCATTTACGCCTCCATCGGAAATGCAGCCGCCGCAGCCTGCATTCAAACCCACGACCTACGGGTCAGCAGCCGAGACTACCACGGCGGGGCAGTCGTTGGTGTAATGATAACTGGGCGCTACCTTTCAAAATTGGGCCGTATAGTACATTTATAGGAACATTTCGGTTATTAAAATTCATAACTAGTGCAGTCGAATTTCTGGACGTCTCCAATGATATAGTCTTACCTGTGCACAGCGCTGCCCCTGTCGAAAAGTCGCATCTCTTTCCAAGTTGGTCGCAAACTCTTGTCTCTTCTTTATTGCACTTGGTTCGATTTTTGCCTGCCACGTAAGGGAAGGACGATATTGTAAAATTTATAGATACAATTGTAACACAAAAGACGGATTAGCTCGCGCAATTAGTTCGTGATAAACCTCGTTGCGTGAAGGTGGCTTCAGCGTGAAGCGTGTAATAGCTTTCACTTGCTAAACGGCTGATAGCGAAAACATTGCAAGAAAAAAAAACTCCTTGGTTCGGCGTGCAGCGATTTGCGGGTACACAAGTACAAACGCTAATGCACTTCTTATTTCCTAAAAAGACGAATGCGAAAATGTTTCCCGGTAGCAGTAGCCGGAGAACATTCTAGAAACATCGTCAGCTTGCAAAAATAGGAAGCAAAGTTTACGGCTTGCCTATTTTATTTAAGCATTCCGAGTTTCTCTCTTGTGTGCAGCAAGGGACACAGAAATACGTCGGCATTGCGAATATCAGCCAATGCACTACGCGCCTCACGTCGATACGTCTTGTATCATCGCCATCATCATCATGACTAAGTCAACTGCAGGACAAAGGCGTCTCCCATGTTTCACCTAGGTATACGTCTGTGTCTATGTCTATGTACACGTTGTGGGAATCGAGAGCGCCCCACTACTAGGCGCTTCGTTCTCCAGCTGCCGCGCGCGCGCCGACCGCGTAGCACGGGCGCGTATAATCACCGGCATTCACCAAGATGGCTGCCGGGGCGCAACTCGGTCTCGGCGAGTCAAGCTTCGGCTCCGTCCCACGCTGGCATGTCTGGGCACGCTACGCTGTGCGGGCCTGGGTGGCAGTGGTTGTAAGGAAGAGAAAAAGGCACCAAATTTCTGTCTGCCTTATGGGCGACACGGCGCAGGGCCTTATAGGGGTGGGGGAAGGAGGGATAAAAAGAATAGAAGGAAATTGATGAAGAATAGAGAGGCAAGCGACGGAAAATAGAAGGAGATAGGAAAGTGGGGATTCGGTTGAAGCAGTCCAAGGGCGGGGCACCACAATGCGAGAGCTGCATTGCGTCAGGAGACCTCGGAGGGCGAATCAGTCGGCGGGATCTACGCTGGCGTCGGAGATTGCGAGGGCACGACCGTCCAGCTTGAAATCCTCCGAGGGCCTACGTTGGTTGCTTTGTGGTTCGTAAGGAAGAGAAAGAAGGCACCTAATTTCTTTCTGCCTAGGGCACATGGCGAAGTGCTTTGCGAGCGTAACCTGATAGAAAGCAACATACTGCAACAAGCAACAACTCGAGTATGATTGATTGATATGTAAGGTTTAACGTCCTAAAACCACCATATGATTATAAGAAACACCGTAGTGGAGGGCACAGAAATTTCGATTACATGGGGTTATTTAACGTGCACCCAATTCTGAGCACACGGGCCTACAGCATTTACGCCTCCATCGGAAATGCAGCCGCCGCAGCCTGCATTCAAACCCACGACCTACGGGTCAGCAGCCGAGACTACCACGGCGGGGCAGTCGTTGGTGTAATGATAACTGGACGCTACCTTTCAAAATTGGGCCGTATAGTACATTTATAGGAACATTTCGGTTATTAAAATTCATAACTAGTGCAGTCGAATTTCTGGACGTCTCCAATGATATAGTCTTACCTGTGCACAGCGCTGCCCCTGTCGAAAAGTCGCATCTCTTTCCAAGTTGGTCGCAAACTCTTGTCTCTTCTTTATTGCACTTGGTTCGATTTTTGCCTGCCACGTAAGGGAAGGACGATATTGTAAAATTTATAGATACAATTGTAACACAAAAGACGGATTAGCTCGCGCAATTAGTTCGTGATAAACCTCGTTGCGTGAAGGTGGCTTCAGCGTGAAGCGTGTAATAGCTTTCACTTGCTAAACGGCTGATAGCGAAAACATTGCAAGAAAAAAAACTCCTTGGTTCGGCGTGCAGCGATTTGTGGGTACACAAGTACAAACGCTAATGCACTTCTTATTTCCTAAAAAGACGAATGCGAAAATGTTTCCCGGTAGCAGTAGCCGGAGAACATTCTAGAAACATCGTCAGCTTGCAAAAATAGGAAGCAAAGTTTACGGCTTGCCTATTTTATTTAAGCATTCGGAGTTTCTCTCTTGTGTGCAGCAAGGGACACAGAAATACGTCGGCATTGCGAATATCAGCCAATGCACTACGCGCCTCACGTCGATACGTCTTATATCATCGCCATCATCATCATGACTAAGTCAACTGCAGGACAAAGGCGTCTCCCATGTTTCACCTATGTATACGTCTGTGTCTATGTCTATGTACACGTTGTGGAAATCGAGAGCGCCCCACTACCAGGCGCTTCGTTCCCCAGCTGCCGCGCGCGCGCCGACCGCGTAGCCCGGGCGCGTATAATCACCGGCGTTCGCCAAGATGGCTGCCGGGGCGCAACTCGGTCTCGGCGAGTCAAGCTTCGGCTCCGTCCCGCGCTGGCATGTCCGGGCACGCTACGCAGCCCGGGCCTGGGTGGTAGTGGTTATAAGGAAGAGAAAAAGGCACCAAATTTCTGTCTGCCTTAGGGGCGACACGGCGCAGTGCCTTATAAGGGTGGGGGAAGGAGAGATGAAAAAAAATAGAAGGAAATTGATGAAGAATAATGAGGCAAGCGACGGAAAATAGAAAGAGATAGGAAAGTGGTGATTCGGTTGAAGCAGTCCAAGGGCGGGTCACCACAATGCGAGAGCTGCATGGCGTCAGGAGACCGCGGAGGGCGAACCAGTCGGCGGGAGCTACGCTGGCGTCGGAGATCGCGAGGGCACGACCGGGTGGCTTGAAATCCTACGAGTGCCTACGTTGGTTGGTTAGTGGTTCGTAAGGAAGAGAAAGAAGGAACCTAATTTCTGTCTGCTTATAGGCGACACGGCGCAGTGCCTTGTAGGGGTGGGGGTAAAGAGGGATAAAAAGAATAGAAGGAAATAGATGAAGAAATAGAAAGGCAAGCGATGGAAAATAGAAGGAGATACGAAAGTGGGGATCCGGTCGAAGCAGTCCATGGGCGGGGCACCACAATGCGAGAGCTGCATGGCGCCAGAAGACCACGGAGGGCGAACCAGTCGGCGGGAGCTACGCTGGCGTCGGAGATCGCGAGGGCACGACCGTCCAGCTTGAAATCCTCCGAGGGCCTACGTTGGTTGGTTAGTGGTTCGTAAGGAAGAAAAAGAAGGCACCTAATTTCTGTCTGCCTATAGGCGACACGGCGTAGTGCCTTGTGAGGGTGGGGGTAAGGAGGGATAAAAAGAAAAGGAGGAAATAGATGAAGAAGTAGAGAGGCAAGCGACGGATAATAGGAGATACGAAAGTGGGGATCCGGTCCAAGCAGTCCAAGGGCGGGGCACCACAATGCGAGAGCAGCACGGTGTCAGGAGACCGTGGAGGGCGAACAAGTCGGTGGGAGCTACGCTGGCGTCGGATGGGGCGCGCGTGACATCCTCCCCTCCTACGAGCTATGTTGCGCCCGACGATTCGTTCGTCACGGCAGATGCTCTCAGGCCTCGACGAGGGGTTGACGCGCTGCTTAGAAGGCGGCTTCTCGTTCGTGCGTTTGACTTCGCCCCTTGTGCGGGAGTCATCGCGCCCTAGGCAAGCGTACTTGCTCGGTCTTGCGGAGTTCCCTATACGGCCTGCAAGCCCGTGAGTGTCGCACTGTGCTGCACCTTGGGTTAATAAACCCGTTATTGTTTTTATCCTGCCTTGTGCGTGGTTTCTGCGCCGTGTCGGAGAAAACGATGAAGCCGGCCGCAGCGTCGTCGCACGCAGCGGCAGTGGAGGACGTCGCATCCCTACACGGTTGCGCTTAGTAGGTAAGCCTAGTGCAAACGTATCTCCTCAATGTATACGTATACATAGACACATGCGGACTTTGGGTACTGCGCTTAGCGTATGCACACGACAGCCGACAGATGGCAGTAATTTTGCATGATGTCTGTTTCTTTTTATGGAGCACAAGCGGAACCATTCTCTCTTATTAAAATTTCAGCGGTAGTATGACGTGACGTGTGACATTACTACTCAGGTAACGTCTACCGCACGTGGCGTTGGCCGGAAGTCTTGCTGCTGTGTTTTTGGGTTACGGAAACGCGCAAATGATGCTGATGACGATGAAAAAGTTACTTGCCATTTACGCAGAGTGCTGCGCCGTCGACTAACTTGCAGTTCTGTTTCATATTTCTGCATACTTCCTTCTCTTCCTCGTTGCATTTTGTACGCTTCTTCCGTAAAAAGCGAAATGAGAGGGATATTGATTATTTATTGCAACATTATTCACCTATGCAGGTTCTAGCTACCCTGCTTTTGTTTTTATGAAATTAAACAGAGCAGAAGAAACTTTGTGAACAAATAGCGAGGAATTCACCGTTCTTCATCGAAAAGCACAGAGCGCACGGCGCTAATGCAAGGAGATTCGCACAAAGATATGAGGATCGATTAAACTGTAACGAACTCGACAGGCTTTTACCATGATAAAAATTCAAAATCCCTTACCACACGTACGCGTTACAACGCACCAGCGCGTGGCGTGAAAACTCGTTTCTCAGCCATAGGCGCAAAAGAAAACCACGAACAGCCATCAACTCCAATTTCATGGTCTCTTGTAACCTGCCACAAAGTTAATTGCGTGACGTCTTACCCACACACATTGCCTTGTCGTCGACAAACTCGCATCCTTTTCCTATTCTGGCGCACTCTTGTTCCTCGCGGGTGTTGCATTTGGTCCGCTTGTGGCCTGCCAAAGGAAGCAAGCAGGAGCGTCAGTAAAACTGTAATGTCCACTTGAAGGAGAACAGATGGCAAACTTCTGTTTAGTTTGGAAGCAAATGACACTGGCAGAGGGACACCATCCAGCGTATTCAGTTTAAATTATGATAACTTCTTACTTTACAATGAGAAAATATCCACTGTATCACATAAAATGCACCAAATTTAAGGCCTCCGAATAGGTAGTGATCTTGTCAAAGCTTCGCCGAAAAGGAGTTAGTGCATATTTCAAGTGTGGTAATTGAAGTTACACTGAATAAATTGACAAACT